TACAGGCGAATGTACCTGTCTTGATTTCATTTGGCATGGATCATTTCGTGATTGTTGTAAACATGGACATGCAGCACGTATCTATGTATCTATAAAGGCAAATGAAAATTCAATTGATTAAATAAAAAGAGAACTTATTTAATATTTTCGAAATAAGGAACGAGTAATAGCGTCTAATATAAAAAATAAAATAATATATACTGGCTCTGATGAAGAAGCTTATGCAGAGATTTTACGTCAGCATAAAGCCAAGAGAGATGCTATTTTTTTTTCAACTGAAAAGCAAATTATTGAAAACGATCCGTTTAGGCCAAGTAAGCTCCCGAAGACAAGGAATACTACTTCAATAATTAATAGTGTAACACTTTACAAATTTGATAATAGACATAATATTGGAGTAGAAGATCAAAAGACTACTGGAAATGAAGCAAATAGACAAGTCGTATGTATAACTTTACTCTGTGCAATATGTAATATTTTTTTAAATTAAATTAATCAATATCTTTCTAATTGATAATTTTAAATTTATTTTACAGCATTTAAATAGTATGCCGCATTCACTAAATAAGAATATTTACTCTAAATGATAATCAAATCAATCACGATAATTCAAGCAATCCGCATATTTCAATCTGTAATTATCACGATCAAGAAACAATAATTGCACAAAATACTGATAGTTCAGAATTTCAATTTAATCAGCCCAAATCAAATAATATAAGCATAGTTTATTTATTGCATATTTGAAGTAATAAAGTCTAGATTATATATTAACTTACCATTAAATGGCTAAGCTATTGGTCCCGATTGTAGAGAACAAGAATATTCCATATTCTATTGAAAAACGTCAATCCAAAAGAATATGAAATAATAAGCGTAAAGATGTAAGTAAATTTAATATATAGTAATATGAAAAATATTTTATTGTTAATTATCTTCTTTCAGTCAAATTTGAATGAAAAGAGTGGTGAAAATGTTCCACCATCTCGAAAAAGAAAAATTGAAAATTCTGCTCTGAAGGATCTTTTCAATGAACAAGAAATTAACTGGAATTGAAAGGAATTTGTTAAAGTATGTCAATCTCGAAGTATCCACCTTGATGGCGATGATATTGCCAATACAACCAAGTTAATTAGCTAGTTTGATCGTAAAAAGAACAAAACTAAGTCTTTAGCAGTATTAGATTAAAGAATTGGCTTTGTAATTGACGAATATGCAATAAATAAATATATTATATATGTAATAAATAGGCATATATGCAATAAACAAGCAATTTACAGTATTTGATTTTGTGTTTTATTAATTAATATACAATATTAAACTAATAACATACTATTTCGAGTAAAATTGTAAAATTGTATACAATTGAAAAAAGAATTCTTCTGAATTTAATTTAACGCACTGGTAGTAAGTATCTTTTATTTCGTCTTCCCTATAAAAGAGTATTGGTAAGTTTCAGAATTCTCTAATTTAACACACATAGCTTTAAGCAGATTACAAACGATACCTTTTTTTATTTATTTATTTAATTTAACACACTGATAGCACCTTTTATTT